AATGTGTGTGTTGAAAGGACTTCAGCGGTGCATTTAATTTACTCTATTAACCCCACAGGACTGTATTTATATCCTAAAAATAACACTTGTTTCTCTGGAGAAAGCAATCTCAAACTTAACAAGCTGGGGAAGACAATTACAAGCTTAAAAAGTAATCTTTTCTACTATCTACTAAACCTTAACTGAGGATGTACTTTTGGATGTTTACTCTGAAGCATTTAATCGGATCTTACATCCTCTGGTTCTGTCCAAGAGGACAAGCTAGTCCATGATGTATTTATAATTATTCTTTTTTTTTTTTAAGATTTTATTTATTTATTTGACAGAGAGAGACACAGTGAGAGAGGGAACACAAGCAGGAGGAGTAGAAGAGGGAGAAGCAGGCTTCCTACAGAGCAGGGAGCCTGATGCAGGGCTCGATCCCAGGACCCCGGGATCATGACCTGAGTCGAAGGCAGACGTTTAACGACTGAGCCACCCAGGCGCCCCTGTAATTATTCTTCAAATAACACATAGTTCACCCTTTTCCACCCTTTGAAGACTTTTTCTCTTGGTCTAACTCTATAAAATCCTAAAAAAAAAATAAGCATAGTTTTTCATTGGCCTATGACAAAAAGACAGACTATGAGCAGTATCCAGGCTAGGACAGAAAAGAAATGCTTATAGCTCTTATTCATACATATAAAATGGATTTATTTAAGGTGATTTATCAAGGGTGATCTGGATGACACATCTGTCACTTACTACCAGAGATAATTAGTCTTATTAGGCTAATATGGGTTAATATTTTCCTTCCATTCTTACCCATCGCACTGTATCCCTCCCCAAGCTGTGTCATCAGAAGTTTTAAACTAGTACTTCAGATAAACTCTGTACTTTAGTCATAAAAGAAATTATACCCACCACCTATCATGTACTGAACTCTTACTGTGTGACAGATGCTGTGCTGCTGTATATAGATCTCATGAATCTTCACAACCATCTGTGTGATGTACAATATGGTGATTCAACTTGTAAATAAATTAGAGTGATTCTCTTTGGACTCTACACATAACAGTTTAACTCACAGACAATGATGAATAATAATGAAAGAAAGTAGCTAAAATGAGATTGTCAACTATATGAATATTAATTCCAATCACCTCCATTAAATATTTATCCAAATCCACTATAAAATAGTTAAATTATCAAATGTGTAGCCTCCTTCCTGAGTCCCTATTCATTCCTGAAAAAGATACTATATCTTTTAAAATGGAAAGAGTGGCAGAAAGATGGTGAAAAGCAAGTCATATGGGAAACTGACTGAACTAATTCAGTAGCATTTTATTTCTCATTTGTAAGGAAGCTTTACAAAAATCTGTTTTATAAAATGGATTCACACACTTTCATTTAAACAACAGATTAAAAATTAAGAACAAATTTAATTTTAAACAAAATCAGAAATGAAAGAGGAGAAATAACAATTGAAACATAGAAATACAAAGGATAAGAGAATATTATCAAAAATTATATGCCAACAAATTGGACAATCTAGAAGAAATGGATAAATTCCTAGAAACATACAACCTCCCAAAACTGAATTAGGAAGACATAGAAAATTTGAACAGATGAATTACCAGCAATGAAATTGAGTAAGTTATCAAAAAACTCCCAGCAAACAAAAGCCCAGGATCAGACAGCATCACAGGTAAATTCTAACAAACATGTAAAGAAGAGTTAATATCTATTCTTCTCAAACTATTCCAAAAAAATAGAAGGGAAGCTTCTAAATTCATTCTATGAGGACAACATTATCCTGATACCAAAACCAGATAAAGACACCACAAAAAAAGAGAACTACAGGCCAATATCTCTGATGAATGGAGATGCAAAAATCCTCAACAAAATACTAGTAAACAGAACCCAACAATACAGTAAAAAAAGTCATTCACCACAATCAAGTGGGATTTATTCCTGGGAAGCAAAAGTGGTTCAATATTCACAAATCAATCAACATGATACATCACATCAGCAAGTTTTGGATAAAAACCATGATCATTTCAATAGATGCAGAAAAAGTATCTAACAAAGCACAATATCCATTCTTTATAAAAATCCTCAACAAAGCAGGTTAAGAGGGAAAATAACTCAACATAATAAAGGCCATACATGAAAAACCCACAGCTAATATCATACTCAATGCTGAAAAACTAAGAGCTTTTCCTCTAAGATCAGGAACAACACAAGCATGTCCACTCTCATCACTTTCATTCAACATAGTCCTAGAAGTCCTAGCCATAGCAATCTGACAAGAAAAAGAAATAAAAGGCATCAAAATTGGTAAGGAAGAAGAAAAACTTTCACTATTTGCACATGATATGACACTATACATAGAAAACCCTAAACATTCTACCCTAAAACTACTAGAACTGATAAATGAATTCAGTAAGGTCAATGTACAGAAATCTGCTGTATTTCTACACACTAATAATGGAACAGCAGAAAGAGAAATTAAGAAAACAACCCCCCCCCCAAAAGAAAAGAAATTCAATCCCACTTACAATGGCACCAAAAATAATAAAATACCTAGGAATAAACAAATAAGGTGAAAGATCTGTACTCTGAAAACTGATGAGGAAATTGAAGACAACACAAACAAAGAGCAAGATATTCCATGCTCATGGACTGGAAGAACAAATATTGTTAAAATGTCCATATTACCCAAAGCAATCTATAGATTTAAAGCAATTTCTATCAAAATACCAACAGCACTTTTCACAGAACTAGAACAAATAATCCTAAAATTTATATGGAAGCACAAAAGACCTTCAACAGCCAAAGCAATCTTGAAAAAGAAGAACAAAACTGGAAGTATACAACTGCAAATATCAAGATATACTATTAAGCTACAGTAATCAAAACAGTACAGAACTGGCACGGACACTGATAAAAATACATAGATGAAGAGAACAGAATAGAAAACCCAGAAATAAACTCATGATTATGTGGCCAATTAATCTTTGACAAAGGAGACAAGAATATGCAATGGGAAAAAGACAGCCTCTTCAACAAATGGTATTGGGGAAACTGGACAGCTATGTGCAAAAGAATGAGACTGGACCAATGTCTTTCACCATATACATAAATAAACTCAAAATGGATTAAAGACCTAAATGTGAGACCTGAAACCATAAAAATCCTGGAAGAGAGCACAGTCAGTAATTTCACTGACATCAGCCATAACAAAATTTTTGTGGATATGTCTCTTGAGGCAAGAGAAACAAGAGCAAAAATAATTGGGATTATATCAAAATAAAAAGCTTCTGCAGAGCAAAGGAAACAATCAACAAAACTAAAAGACAACCTAACAAATGGAAGAAGATATTTGCAAATGACATATCCAATAAAGAGTTAGAATTCAAAATATAAAACAACTTATATAACTCAACACGGAAAAGAAAACCCAAATAATCTAATTAAAAATGGGCAGAAGACATGGATGGAAGTGAAATAAGTCAAGCAGAGAAAGTCAATTATCATATGGTTTCACTTATTTGTGGAACATAAGGAATAGCATGGAGTACATTAGGAGAAGGAAGGGAAAAATGAAGGGGGGGAAATCAGAGGGAGAGATGAACCATGAGAGACTATGGACTCTGAGAAACAAACTGAGGGTTTTAGAGGGGAGAGGGGTATGGGGATGGGTTGGCCCAGTGATGGGTATTAAGGAGGGCACGTATTGCATGGTGCACTGGGTGTTATACGAAAATAATGAATCATGGAACACTACATCAAAAACTAATGATGTACTGTATGGGGACTAACATAACATCATCATCATCATCATCATCATCATCATCATCATCATCATCATAATAGAAGACATGAATAGACATTTCTCCAAAGAAGATATCCAGATGGCCAACAGACTCATGAAAAGATGCTCACCATCACTCATCATCAGGGAAATGCAAATCAAACGCACAATGAGGTATCACCTCACACCTGTTGGAATGGTTAAAATTAACAACACAGGAAACTACAAGCGTTGACAAGGATGTGGAGAAAAAATCCTTCTACACTGTTAGTGGGAATGCAAACTGGTGCAGCCACAGTGGAAGATAGTATGGAGGTTCCTCAAAAAATTAAAAATACAGGGGCACCTGGGTGGCTCAGTCATTAAGCGTCTGCCTTCAGCTCAGGTCTTGATCCCAGGGTCCTGGGATCGAGCCCCGCATCGGGCTCCCTGCTCTGCGGAGAGCCTGCTTCTCCCTCTCCTACTCCCCCTGCTTGTGTTCCCTCTCTCGCTGTGTCTCTCTCTGTCAAATAAATAAAATCTTAAAAAAAAAAAAAATTAAAAATACAATTACCATATGATCCAGTAATTCCACTACTGGGTATTAACCCAAAAAATATGAAAGCACCAATTCAAGAAGATATATGCACCCCTATGTTTACTTGAGCATTATTTACAATAGCCAAATTATGGAAGTAGCCCAAGTGTCCATCGATAGATGAGTGGATAAAGATGATGTGGTATAGATATACAACGGAGTATTACTCAGCCATACAAAAGAATGAGATCTTGCCATTTGCAACAACATGGATGGATCTAGAGGGCATAATGCTAAGCCAAATAAGTCAGAGAAAGACAAATACCATATAATTTCATTCTTACGTAGAATTTAAGAAACAAAACAGATAAACAAAGGAAAAAGAGACAAAAAACCAGATTCTTAACTAGAGAGAACAAACTAATGATTGCCAAAGGAGATGTGGGTGGGAGGATGGGTGAGCACTGAGTAAGGTATAGAATTGTTCAATCATTATATTGTATATATGTCAACTATACTGCAATTAAAAAAAAATAGATTTAATTTTGCCTAAGTTGATTCTTTCCTAAATTATTTTCAGCACTCATCAAAAGGATGGTAATAAATATTTTAAATATTATGATGGACAGTGTTGAAAATTCAGGTTAATCTTTCACAATGCCAATAAATAAAAGCAGTAGTACTTACCTCCTTTGCACTCTTAATTTTAGTCAGAAACGTGTGTAGCTCCATTGTTTCTGCAAACAGTGCCCGACATACTGCCTGATAATGATTTGGTGCCTCTGATTCAGTTGGAAGATGAGCAGCACATAACTACAGAAGAGGAAAATAAAATAATAATGCTCATTTATTATTTTGGGGTTTTGGTACCTTAAAAACAGACATACCCCATATATTCATATTTACATAACAGACAGCAAGGCAATTCCCATCATCCAAAACCTAATGCATCACAAAACCATCAGTAAAATCTATACAATTATATGGAAAACATGCTCTACTAACAAACACCCAACGGCACAGATGAACTTTGTAGAATTCGTTAGCTTCTATTTGAAAATGACAGAACATTTATACAAGTTTTGGTTGCAAGCAGAAATGGAACTACCATTTACTGAGTATTAATCATAACATAGGTGTTTTAATAGCTATCAATTTTTTTTTTTTTACCATGCCAGGCACTTGTATTTGACACGTCATATACACAGCATAATAGCATTTACTCTTCAGCGTAACCCTGAAATATCTCCATTTTATAGCAAAGGAAACTGAGGCTAAGAGGACTCAAGTGATTTGTCCACAGTCAGAAAGCTGACACGAGGGAGAAGGATTAAACACAGTCTTATGGGATGCTAAAGCCCAGGCTCATCCCGATACATGCTGAATTGTGTAATGCAGTAAAAAAACAGGGGTGCCTGGGTGGCTCAGTTGGTTAAACATCTGCCTTTGGCTCAGATGGTGATCCTGGAGTCCCAGGATTGAGTCCTGTGTCAAGCTCCCTGCTCAGCGGGGAGTCTGCTTCTCCCTCTCCCTCTGCTCCTCCCCCTCTCCCCCTGCTAGTGCTCTCTCTCTCGATCACTCTCTCTCTCTCTCTCAAATAAATAAATAAAATCTAAAAAAAACCCTGTCAGAATGACAGGTGGACCATTGGGAAGATGCTGCATCGTAAATGGAGAGTGGAACAAAGAAGGCAGAGGGCAGAATAACTCCACTGGTGGTAGCTCCAGTCCCAATGTCCTTTACTGTACATAGTCCATAACCCCCAAAACTGTTCGTGGGTAAAAGATGCAAATTAGCATCATACACAACAATTTAGAAAAATCAAACACTATTTAATTTATTAGATTGGAAAGAGACCCTATCATGAGTCTAGTGCATGGGAATAATTTTACTTTTGTAAAGTAATAATTTTGTATCCATGTATTATATTTTAAGGTACTTCATTTGCTTTAAAAAGCTGTGAGTTTGCCCTTAATTCTTTACTATATTCAGTAAATTTGATATTAATTCAATTACTGAAAATATCCATTTTATTATACTTTAATAATTTCTATCCATTGGAAAGTAAAAGATACCTTTGTAGATATTATCCTTCATAATGTGGCTTTTGTTTTCATTTGTAATAAGTATATGCAATTTACTAGATAGATTACTATCTTTAATAAAGTATATTATTCTCAAGTATCTTGGGTTTCAGTAAGAAATTTTCTCCACAGTACCCAAAACAAGGCTAAGAAATGATTTATCAGAAAGCATGAAAAGCAAAAATCTCACAAGCTATACAATGGAATATTACTCAACCATAAAAAAGAATGAAATCTTGCATTAGCAATGACATGGATGGAACTACAGAGTATTATGCTAAGCAAAGTAAGTCGGCCAGAGAAAGACAAATGCTATATGACTTCACTCATATGTGGAATTTAAGAAACAAAACAAACAAGGGCACCTGGATGGCTCAGTTGGTTAAGCATCTGCCTTCAGCTCAGGTCATGATCTTGGGGTCCTGGGATCGAGCCCCGTGTCCACTCCCTGCTCAGTGAGAAGTCTGCTTTTCCCTCTCCCTCTGCCCCCTGCTCATGCTCTCTGTCTTGCTCTCTCTCTCAAGTAAAAAAATAAAATCTTTTAAAAAAATTATCATTTCCAAGATAATGAAAAGCAACTACTAAGAGTTTCATTTTTTTACTATAATTCCTGGGAAGAAATATATTTTATACAAGGACTCAAATACATGCAAACAATCTATGTTTTATACACAACAAGTTCTCAAAACAAAACTTACACATTAAATTGATTTCATGATCCACTATTAGGTTGTGACCTGCAAGTTGAAAAACACTGGTGTAAAGGTAATAACTAGATCTAAAAATGTTTTTCAAATGCATAGGACATAATCCTACACATATATAAAATCCAAAAGAATCTACAAAAAACTATCAGAGCTAATAAGCAATTTCAGCAAAGTTGTGGAATACATGATCAACACACACAAAAAGGTGTATTTCTGTATTAATGAACAATCAGAAAAAGAAATTAAGAAAGCAATTCCATTTATAAAAGTATTAAAAAACGATTAAGCAATACATTTAACCAAGGAGGTACAAGATATACATACTGAAAACTAAAAAACATTGCTGAAAGACCCAAATAAATGGAAAAACATCCCATATTCATAGGTTGGAAGATTTAATACTGTTAAAATGGTAATACTACACAAAGTGATCTAGACATTGAATGCAATCCCTAATACCAACGATTTTTTTTTTTTTGAAGAAACAGAAAAGCTGATCCTAAAATTCATATGAAGCTGCAAGGGGCCTCAAACGGCCAAAACAATCTTGAAAAGAACAAAGTTGGAAGACTTACAGATTGAATTTCAAAACTTACTATAAAGTTACTGTAATCCAATCAATGTGGTATATAAGGAAAGACCTATAAATCAATGAAATAGAACTGAGAGTTCAGAAATAAACCCATATATCTTTGGTTGATTAATTTTTGACAAAAGTGCCTAGACCATTAAATGAGAAAAGAACAGTCTCTTCAACAAATGATGCTAAGAACACTGGATATCCACATGCAGAAAAATGAAGTTCACCCCTAACTCATACTATATATATAAAAACTAACTCAAAATGGATCAGAGACCTAAATATAACAGCCCAAAATATAAAACTCTGAAAACATAGGGATAAACCTTCTTGTTCATGGATTTGGTAATGATTTTTTAGATACGACACCAAAGCATAACCAATAACAATAAAATGGATAAATTAGACTTCATCAAAGTTAAAAGTTTTTGTACATCAAGGGACATTTTCAAGAGAGTTAAAAGGCCCACATTATGGGAGAAAATATTTGCAAATCAGATTATCTGATAAGGGTCTACTATTCAGAATATATAAAGAACTTTTTTAAAGAGATTATTTATTTGAGAGAGAAAGAGAGTGGGGGTTAGGGGAGAGGGAGAGAGAGAATCCCAAGCAGGCTCCACACCCAGAGCCAAGCCCAACATGGGGCTCTATCATCTCACAACCCTGAGATCATGACCTGGGCTGAAACCAAGATGCTTAACTGACTGAGCTACCCAGACGGCCCTATAAAGAACTCTTAAACACAACAAAAAGACAACTCAATTTAAAAACTGACATTTTTCCAAAGAAAATATACAAGTGACCAAAAAGCACATAAAAAGATGCTCAACACCATTAGTCATTAGAGAAATGCAAGTCAAAACCAGAATGAGATACCACTCAGACCCAGTAGGATGGCTACAAAAACAAAAACCAAAAATGGAAAATGAATGTTGATGAGAACGTGGATAATACTGGAACCCTTGTGTATTGCTGGTAGAAATGTAAAATGGTACAGCCACTGAGAAAAACAGTATGGTGATTTATCAAAAAGTTACCATGTGATCCAGCAATTCCACCTTAGGTAAGATACAGTTAACCTTGAACAACATGGGTTTGAACTGCTAAGGTACACTTACATGCAGATTTTTAAAATATAAATACAGTACAGTACTGTGTTGTATTTGTAAATGTATTTTCTCCTCCACATGATTTTCTTAATAACACTTTTTCTAGCTTGCTTTATTATAAGAATACAGTAAATAATACATATAACATATAAACTATGTATTAACTGACTGTTTATGTATTCAGAAAGGCTTCTGGTCAACACTTGGCTTCCTTAGCAGTTAGGTTTTTGGGGAATCAAAAGCTGTATGCAAATTTTTGGCTGTGCAGGGGGTCAATGTCCCTAACCTCTGCATTGTTCAAGGGTCAACTGTTTATCAAAAAGAATAGAAAGCCAGTGTTCAAACAAAAGCTTGTATATCAATGTTCATACCAGCAACTATTCATAGTAGCCAAAGGTGGAAACAATTCAAATATTCTGAACTAATACTTGGAAAAACAAAATGTGGTATATACATACAGTGAAATCTTACTCATTCATAACAAGGAATAAAGTACTGACACACACCATAACATGGATGAACCTTAACACCATTATGCTAAGTAAAAGCAGCAAGACACAAAAGGTCATATATTGTACGATTCTATTTATATGAAATTCCTAGAATACACAAATCCACAAAGTCAGAAAGCTGATTAGTGGTTGCCAGAGGCTGAAAGACAAGGGATAAGAAGTGATGAGTATGGGGTTTCCATTTGAGGTGATAAAAAAGCTCTGAAACTAGATAATGATTATGGTTGAACAATATTGTGAATGTACTTAATGCCACTAAATTGTACACTTTAAGATAATTTAAATGATAAGTTGTATGTGTATTCTACCGCAATTTAAAATACGTTTTAAAAACTTAACAAAGAATAATGAAATTCCACAAAGTCTCCATTGAGACAGAGGGAGAAACAGTCCCACAGAGGAGAAATAATCCAAGTGGTTATTTCAGTGTCCATGAACTGCTTGATATTTATTTTGTTCTTTGTTCCTGAATGCATCATTTCATTTAATCCTTACAACAATCCAACTGATAGATACAGAAACTGAGATTTAGAATAGCTGAGTAATTTACCCAAATCACACAGCTAGGCAGCAGAACTGGAGTTGAACCCAAGCAGTCTACCTATAGATCTAAGCCAAGTTCTTATGCACTCTACTCTAGAATGAATGTTTATTACTTTTATATTAAAGAAAGTCATGTTTTTCAAGTATTTAAGCATACAGCATGGTATACAGTAAACATACAACAAAACCATCTTTTACAGTTACCAAAAAAAAAAAAAAAGGGACAATATGGGGGAAGAGGAACATAATTAGCAGGAGTAGGTTCTGACCCACAT